CCCTTCAGAAAAATGAGGTCTCTATGAATGAATCAAGGGGTTATGTGTGCAGTCAGACAGACACACAGGGGGCCATTAAGCAAATTTGACTTTCCCTTTATTTTGGTGGAAGTGGTAACCCATGTGCATAATGTGGAAGTCCACAAAACCCGCAGCAGGCTACTTTGTGAATATTTGCTGTACAGCACGTAGCTGTCATGTCAAGTGTAAGTGATGTCTTGATGACAGCAAGAATAGTTTATTTTTCTAGAAAAATCTGAGCTAATCATGAAAATGATACATAATCAGGTTAAAATCGAAATTACAACAATAGCCTATTAATAACGATAGTAAGTTATTATTAATTATCTGTCTTTTCCTTTCCTCAGGGCCCATTGGACACTGAGCACCCTTGGGCCTGTCTGTCAAGTAGACATGTTTCAAACTGTCCCTGACACGTCGTCTTACGTCAAGGTAAGACACCACCGTCAATTCGATCAGGTAATGCTGGAGGGACTAACTGGGGCCCTTTCATTTTTTACTTAGGTTTTACTGTGAAGTTTCCCATATTTTCCAACAAGTCTAAATTGCCCAAAAAAATCCAGTCTGCCCAGCCTTATATTGAGTGTTAAAACAAGAAGCAAACCAACAATGAGTAGCTTTAATTATTTGCATTAATACAAGTAGAATTAACTAATTACAGTGCATTTTCTGTGGAATACAAAAGTCTTGTTATATTATGGCAAAATTATCCAAAGAGGCTGCAGTTACGGCTCATTATCTTGTTTTTTGACGTCATGAATCTCTCTCTCTCTCTCTCTCTCTCTCTCTCTCTCTCTCTCTCTCTCTCTCTCTCCTGAGAATGTAAATAAAGAAAACAGCGCACATCTGGTGTTCAGATAAAAAAAACTGCATCGCCTACCATATGGCGCTGCATGAATACCTGCAACTGCTACATAGCTGAGGCACTGAAACCATTAAATATGTATTTTATATATATATTTATATAAAACCGCACGTGACCGTATACTGTCCAGACAATGTTAAACGAGCACTTTGCTCACACTTGTGTCAGTTAATATTGTAGGCTGCATCACGTTTGCTCACATCCATCATAATAATCTACAGAGGGTGACTGAGCGGATTGTGACTCATTAGAATGGGTCATTGTACACAGGCGAGCTATGGCAATATCTTCTTAATCAAGGTATTTTTCCAAGGGCGACTTGTTAATGTTTTGAAGACTTATTTCCCCCTTTAAATAAGGGTCCTTTTCATCCAGCCACGGCGTTTGTGCCACTGCAGAGAGACTCTGCGTTTCTGGGCTCAGAACAATTCCTGATTTGTTGCGAGAGAGTTGAATAGTGCGGGAATGTTTTAGGTAAAATATACTTTTAAATGGGTCTTTCTGCTCCCTAAAACTGCTCCCTAAAACAGACAAGATGCCAATGAGGGAGGGGCAGAGGTTAGTGGGACTTGAGCATGGAAGACGATTTTTGGAGTTAACTTTCAATTTTACAGTGCTTGCATCTCATAGCTTGTTTGAGTTTAGGTGGAAATGCAGCCTAGATTATTTCTGTTTGTTCTGATTCCAATAATGTCATTTTGTTATCCTGCCGGCATTCAGGGTTCGCGTGTGTGTTTTTTGCGTGCAAGTGCTGCGCTCACTGGCTCACTCACATTGAAGGAGATATTGGTCAGAATGTGGCACGCCTCAATACAAAACTTAAAGAAATATTCCTCATTCAAGCGAATCCACGGCCCAGCATTTGGTTTTGTTTGGTTAAGGCCAGGCGAGACTGGAACTCTCCAATAAAAATAAATCTCAAATTAATTATGGCCTAGAGCGAGGGGCCAGACAGTTCGTGCTTATATGTGCTGCAGACTCCACTTTTTGCCCTCAGTATTGTGACTCGGACTGTCTTGTAGCCTGAGAAAAGGAATTATCTGAGTACAAGTCTGCAGTCTGCTAAACAGCTAATTTAGCAGGCTCATATTGACTGGGACTATTTCTTCTTTGGAATAACACAGCTGACAAGTTTCTCACAACATTCAGTAGTGGATACTAATATCCCACCTCAGGAATGATCAAATGAGGTACCTTAAATTCATAGACTACACCAAAAGAATTATTGTATCATACAAAGCACAAAGAAAAAAAAATATGGGGACAATTCATGCATGTTGACTAGTTTTAAAAATCTTTTGAAACAAATGCCAGTGCCTTGGCATGAAGAATGCAGAATCTACACAACACATTGTTTACAAAAATGTGCTAGATTAACAAAACCTTTTTAGTGGTCCCCCCCCCCTTTATATCTCATAATTTAAGACTCATTTAAGACTGACTAACCAAATTCTCCATTCACCAAGTCTTAGTACATCTTCATATAAGCTAAAAAGAACAATTGAAAGACTGCTGAGCATAAACTATGTATAGTGTCTGCCCGCCCCTGGCTCGTTGCCCCAGCAAAGAGACAGAGGAGCTACTGGCTCGTGGTGTAAGGAAGAAATGTCTGGCTGTCTAGTTCCAGCGTCAAGCCAGATGTTCTGTGGTTCACTGTGTAAACCAACTTGCATCTGTTTATTGGCCTTCCAAAATGTTTGTTACCACTGTATTCATTATGGTCTTGGTAGGTCCTGGACCCTAAGTCTTCCTATTAAGCTCCTTGCCTGGGATGGCATTTTAATAGAGAGGGAGTTATCTGGTCTGAGGCAGATTGTTGGTGAGATGTTGTTAGATTAGAAAATTAGCCTCCTGTAAGTTTGCAGCTTTTTTCACAACACTTTATAACACTGCATTTCAATTGGACAGATTTTGGACAGTGGAGTGTAAGTTTGCCTTTTTATTAATGGAAACTGCTGATGTAAATCCAAAGAAGCACATCTCAATATAAAACTGTAAAAACGGGTTTTTTTTAAGAGATTTGTTTCTATTACTGGGCATAAAGCTCTGTATGGTAAATAACCTGCTCAATGTCACATATTAATCACCTCTTTAATTGCCACTTTATCACTAACAGTCTCCCTAACATAAAATGCATAGCCTATATAAAGACCTCAGACACTGGAATGTATTGAAACACAAAACAAACAAAAAAAAAGAAACCAAACCAGTCACTGAAGAGTTAAACAAGGTGTCTCCCTTAATTACACGAGTCTGAACTGGCCTCAGGCAGGAGAAGCCTTGACCCTTAGCAGGATCCAGATGTGGTAGTCCCAAGGGTGGGGGCCCTCAGCCCCACCAGACCCCCAAGTCGAGAGCAGACAGGCCGGCCCTGCTGTCTGTAGTTGCGGCGGCGCAGTCTGTTTGGCCTCTCTGAGGCCGCTCCCCGAGGCAGAACCCCAACACTACAAAAAATATCCCTTATCATCGTTTCAACTAAATTGTATTAAATTGATTCTCTTGATAGTGGTGGAGGGTATTTTTCACACAAAAACCCCTGAAACAATTATAGTAAGCCACGCTCTCTAAAGCGGGTTTCCTTTAAGTATCTAAATCTAAGTTACCCACTTGACTTTTATGTATCTCTTTTGTCTTCAGAAATAAAAGATTACTGAAATGCTGAATGTGGCAATCAATCTGTGAAAATGGATGTTTCTTGCAGTGTTACTGGTCTGGTCACGTTCAGAGCTGGCTTCGTGTCTAGCATCTGCACTAAAATTATGGCTGAATTGATGAGGGCAATTTCATAGGGCAGACGAATAGGGGAAAATACCTATGTGGGGTGGGTTATTGTGATTAGGGGATTTCTTTTTTGTCGGGCTCAGGCGAGTAGTGAGAAACCACTGAATAGCAATAGCAAACTCACTAATAGTTATCATAGTAATAATCTATATTTGGGTCCCATTTAAAGTGTGCTCTTGTTGATGCAGGCTGCATTTAATCCACTGAGTCCTGTGGTGAACAGCAGACGCACACGTGTAGAGCAGACCCTCAGACTATAGTGCGGTTAGCTGCTGAATGCTTGGATTTTATTAATGGTGTCTCAGGAAAACTTCACAGAAGCTTCACGGAGAGCTGTAACAAAAAATGACCAGGTTGCAACAACTCCTACCATAGGTTTCTCTCCTGTTTTGATTTAGAGGTCCATCGGCTATAAGTCTGATAGAAACATCTGTCCACATTCAAAGATGAACTTTATTTTATGTATCAATTACACTATGAAATATAGAATAAAACAGGGAATAGGCTGATTTACAGAGGGATGGAGGTATGACCAGATGGGTGTCTGAAGTGTAGGCGTGAACTAAAAAGCGCTCTAAAACATGGAGTCACATAACTTAAGAGTGTCCTGCTACACCTCAATCCCAAAAGCTTCACATTTAAATGTGCGTAGAAATAATAAGTCGGACAAATAGTAAACCCTTCCACACCATAAGTGACATTACTGGGAAAGCAAAACACACAACACTATTCGACCAACAGGCTACACGGCAATGGCTGCGCACAACGCAGGCAGTCATCCTGTAAATATTTCCGAGCAGAAAAACATAACAGTGGAGCGAACACTCAATTGTTTTCCCTGCTTATCTCTCTGGGACAGTATCCTGCTTTTTTGAAGGCAGGGCTTTCGGTGACACACAGCTTCCTTCTCAACCTTCTCAACAGCGGTGACTTCACTTCCCAAATTTAGAGGAAAGAAAAAACTCAATCCGGTAAAAGTGTCTCTTCTCTCCGCCACATACCGGGGGCTGGAATTAATTCAGGAGCGTGTCATGTTTGGGATATTGTCGGGGTCCGCTGAAAATTGCGCAAAATGGACGGAACTATTAAGGTAAGGGTGGAGAACGGGGTGTATGAGTTTGTGGGAGACTGCTTTTTCTGAGTTGCGCCTCCTTTTTTAAGCAATGGGTTGAAATGCCTCTCTGTGTCGCTCTGTGAGCTGGGACCTCCAATCTGACGACGATGAGCGGCTTTTTTCTCTCGGTCTGAAAGCGGTAACAAGATTTCCCTCTTTTTCCTCTTTCTTTGAGAATATCCACTTTCGTTTTTTCAATAAGCTGCCCGGGTGTGAGGATTTGCTACGGTGTGGATTCAAGGCTAAATCAGAATCACGCTTTGGATTTTGGGGACCAAGCGCACAATTACGCACGTCTGGAAAGGCAAAAAGGAGTGGCTATTTGTTTCAGACAACACGCGGTAGACTGTAATTTCATTATATGTATAAGTAATCCTCGAGTTCAACGGTTTGGTTTAGTCTGGGCAGCGGGGATTGAGCAATAGCCATGACTGGATGTACCGCTGGATACGATGTGTCGAGCTGCGCAACAGCGGTGTGGCACATCGCCCGGCTCGGTCCGAGGATCCTGTCGTGGGTGAAAAACTATGATGGTTTGGTATTTACACAAGAAATAATCTTTCTCTCTTTATTGTTGTTGATTATTGTAACTTCTCTCCCTCCGTCGCATAGAGAGTTTTGTCAAAGTGTAAGGAAAGCTGTAACTGCTCAGTTTGCAACACTTAAAACCACAAGGCTTCACAATGGCAACCTTGGCTCGCTCCTTATATAGTTACACAAGTATTTTGAAATGGTATGTTGGTAGTCAAGAGCGCTAGTCTACATTAACATTGGCTACTGCCCCCGACAGTCAAATTCCAGATGCATTATGACTGCAGCCACCAGATGTTGAATGGCAAGTCCCGATTAGTTCACAATGGGATGCGTTCAGTCTGGGTCCTCCGGTTGTAAGTGTAATCTCACACGAATGCAGCGTTTGCGTTTACCCTTATTGTTGCTGAAAAGTAATGCTACTTGTTTTTTTTATTTAAAGTAGCGGGTTTGTGGCGGCTGGGTGTGGTGTGAGTTTTGGAAGAGTGTTAACGTTAGCCAGACAAAAATGTCAGGTTGCAAATAGTCACTTAAATCTCACAGCGCTGTGATTGTTTTATTATGTATCGGGTATGAATGCCATGCTGCAGGAGGACACCAACGTCTCAGCCTGGATGTCTGTAACAAAGCAACAAGTTGTGACAATTAATGTAATCATAATTAAATCCTTGGGTATAAATGACTGGCTGCTAGCTGCATTCATGCTCGCTAAAAGAAAGGAAGGGCTCTCTAGCCATGAGAGCTTCCTGTTCTACACAATCTTTTCCTGACAGGTTTCCTCTTCCTCCTTAAACAAAAGACAGGAATGCCCCCCCGTGGGTGGCTCCTGCTAGATGGCTGTGTGTGAACGTCAAACAATCACACGTGTAGTCTGGATGTGGAGCTATTGCATATATCCTCTGCTCCAGACGCGTCGTGACGCATTTGGAGAGATAGACTTGGCTGATGTAAACAGAACAGAGGTGGCTCCCAGCAGGTGTCACACTCACACAATGCTTACAATGCTGACCAGTTTAACAGCTGAGCCTTGATGATGTTTTTCCCCTTTGTCTGTGGCACAGCAGAAATACACTATTGCAAAAATAGAAACTAAATCATATTTATGTTTTCAGCAAAATGTTTTTAAGGACAAAGCTTTTATAAACTCACAACCTGTATAGAGTGATTATGTTCGGATATGGTCCTAGGGAGAAAATCATCTAAATTGTTTGAGTGGCTCACAACCATTGGGCAATTATCTGTGGATACTGTGAGACAGACAGTGTAACCGCCTGTAGCTCCCACTGGCAGTATGTGTGTGTTCCTCACAGATACTGGAAAGAAAACATAGACACTGGTCTGTCATCCTCTCAGCTTCTCATGAGAGTGGTGTGCCCCTATTTTTAAAAACCCTCTGCAATCTTGATAAGCACACACCACTTGCCAATCATGGTTTCAATTGTGCAGGCTGATAATGTCACTGTAAATATGACATCCAACAGTCCTAGTAGTTGACTAAGCCCTTATCGGGCTGTAATGAGACATTCCCTCACTCTCCTACACTTTATCATCCACAGACTAGCTGGTGTGCTCTGCTCAGATAGCGAGTCTTGCTGCCAGGGTTCAGGCTATGATGGATCCACTGATGATCAGTGGAAAATCTAATTCTGGCGAGATGGTTAAATGCTCTGGAGAGGTTCAGCATTTTTATCCACCCATTAACCCAAAGAGTAATATTTTTTTGAACTAGGAGTTTATAGAAACATTTGTTTTGTATTTGATGTGTGGTATAGGCCTAGCTGTTTCTAACCGTGTGTAAAGAGAATAATACATTCATCTCATGTCTGAGAATAAGTTTGACTTGTCAAACCACTTCTCGACATTATTGAAATGCAGGTCCCTTTTATTCTAGGGTATTTACAAATGATGATTTTGTAAATCTTTGTATCCATATTTGTGTAAACACAGCCAGTAGTGGGCCTGTGGCAATACAACAGAGGGCACTATAGTGCATATACAAATTAAAACATTTTCCCACTGCAAAGTTTACCACAACTTCAAATAATAAATAGTACAGAGCAAAGGCTTCACCTGTCACTTTCTTTTATTAGATCAAGTAACTGCATTTATTAAAATTATTTAGACGTTAATAATTAAAAATGCACAGATGGCTTCCAATCAGTATCAAAATATATGGTCCAACTATTGGCATAGCAATGATCCCCTCAAATACATTACATTGCTAAACAATTTAGTCTTGGTTATGTTGCTTATCAGAGAGCTGAGATTTACTCAAAAGTTGACACATCATTTATTTTATCTATAAAAGTAAAAATTTGTTTGTGTTGATACTGTATACAAGGTGTGATTATTGTAGTTAAAGGAAATGTTTAGCATGTTGTATTTCAACTCAGTGTCCAAGTGGAGCTGGTGAGAGAGCATACCTGCCATTTAAGAATCACTATAGTATTTTTGTGTATGCATATGTATACCACTTACATATTATAATCAGTCTCTAGTTGTACCAGTGAATACTTTTACCACAAAAAGAGACATTTGTCATCAAAAGAGGCATAAGTGAAAACGTTCTACTTGCATTAAATGTCTTAGAATGGAATGAAACTGATGTTTTGTGAGATCATGAGGATTTTTATTTCATAAAAGTAACATTTTAGGGAATGGAAACAGCTTCATGTTGGAAATACCGATCAATGAATATCAAGTAGCATTTTCCCCCTGAAGCAGATATGTGGCATTTTGGAATGAAATAATTCAGTCCTCGGGAATTAGACACGTCTCCGTATAAGCTGTGCCATCAGATCCAGATGTGCATCAGACCCGAGCTCAATCCTCAGCAGAAACATATGACTGTGATGATTTCACTTGATTTTGTGACTTATTGTTTTTTGTATTTGTCTGTTCGATTGTTTTTAACAATGATAGATGAGGAAATTATAACAAAGGCTCACTCATCAAGTCATTGTTATGGAGAATCAACATTCTGTGCCAGCTAAAGGTTGCCTGGCACGGGTCTGAGTAGGTGACATTGCCCAACTCTGTTCACTGTCAAACACTAACCAGTGACATCTGTATGTTAAAATCATGTACATAATCCATGCTTTACTTCCAAGACATTACATGAGGAGCATGCTGGAAACCACGTAATATCTTGGCCAGCGCTGAGTTTCTGCGTTTGTTTTCTTTAATAAACTTACATTTCTCCAGCTGAGCTACAGCAAAGGGGTCAGTGTAGCCGTGACCCCCCCATTGCTTCTGTTGAGTCTTCAGCTTTGGAGGGAAGCCCAACACTCAGACAAGACAGACACATTAGGGCATGACAGGGGATTTTGGGTTCCATTGAAGTCAAGAAGATACTGTTAATGGGAAGTCAAAATGATTATACATCCAGGAATCTGGGAAATCTTATTTAGAATATTTAGAATTGTCAGCTCCTACAGTAAACTTGAGAATTTGAGAAGTCATTTCAAAAGATGGATTGGTGAACCAATGGGTCATTACTGGAAAACAGCTGTATTGACTGATGATGTCAGTAAACTACTATGGTGGTAGCGCCCAAGCTTACAACTCCACTGTGGGCATGATTGAAGTGCACATCCTAACATCAACAGGAAGCAACATTTGCTTCGTGGACTGTATACACAAACCACTTAGGATGCCAGACTGCGATATGAGCAATAACTGCACATAATTGCTGTAAACAAATATGCACAAGAGATTGAAAATTTCACATAGAAAGTTTCTGGGTAGTGTCAAATGTGAGGCTAGAGTTGTATCTGCTCATGTTTGTGAGCGTATTCTTATCATTCTTATCACATGACTATGTCTTTCCACTTGAAACAGCTTGACACTTTGGGAAATACAGCTCTTCGCCTTCGTGCCGTGAGTTAGATGAAATGTTTGAAACTACTTTCATATCTGTTGGTTAAACATGAAACTACAGCAAAGACATGGTTAGCTTAACTTAGCATAAAGAATCAGGCTTAATCAGCTAGCCTGACCTTGTCCAGAAGTAAAATAAACTTCCTGTCAGCACCTCTAAAACTCTTAAATGAACACAATATATCTCATTCAAAAAAAGAGCTATGTTGTGTTAGTTAGTGAGCTTTAGATGAGTTGGTGGATGAATTTAAGGTGACCAGCAGCTGGCTGGTGCCTCCCTGTATTTTTTATTCTAAATGTTTATCTATAATCTCATCTAACTCTCAACAAATCCAATAAGTTCCAAAATAACACATTTCTTTGTGTATTGGTTAGGATGGCTATATATGCACTATATGGGATTTGCTGACATACTAGCACTTGTAAAGTGACTTGAGAAAGACACAGCAATTATTTGTTCCTTCTACCTACAGGAGGCGCTATCAGTGGTGAGTGAAGACCAGTCCTTGTTTGAGCCTCCGTACGCTGCTGCTGCCCCTCTCCCCAAGACAGACATGACTGCATCTGGCACACAGGACTACGGCCAGACCCACAAAATAAACCCCTTACCCCCACAGCAGGAGTGGATCAACCAGCCAGTGCGGGTCAACGTCAAGCGAGAATATGAGCATATGAATGGATCCAGGTATGGCATGACAACTACTTCCAATGCCTCACATTCTTAAGTGTTCAGTGAGAAATGAGTTTTTTATTTTAGTATTTCTTATACATTTGTTATTCAACAGGCCATTTATTTACCGTGACTAGCCTTCACTTTTTGCTTCTAATCTTCAATATACTTGGCCCTGGCTAGGGTAGGGCTTAAATATTCCCTGCCAAAGTCAATGACTGGAAAAGAAAAACCAACAACACCCAATTTATCTGCTGATAATATTTTTACAACTTTCTTGTACATGTGTGTTTGTGTAGCAGGGAGTCTCCAGTGGACTGCAGTGTGGGTAAATGTAATAAGATGGTGGGGGGTAATGACACATCTCAGATGAACTATGGAAACTACATGGATGAAAAGAGTGCCCCTCCCCCCAACATGACCACCAATGAGCGGAGAGTCATTGTACCTGCAGGTAAGAATAGTTTTTTGAGCATCAGTGTAAAGCTGTGTGTAATAAAAATATCTGAAAACGTATTCATAAAATTGTGTATCTGTGTAATCATTTTGTTTTTATACAGGTGTTTTTCTGTGCTGCTGCTGTAATTACAGACAGAATCACTCTTCTGTTTTGGTATAATTTGCCATGCTGTAAATGTTTTATGAGTCCCATTTTTATTTAGCTGGTTCTTGGGGTAAAGCATTGTTCAAATGGTTTACGTCACTCGCGGGAGCACGGCTGACTGTGTGCAGGTAGAGATGTCTGCTTGTCTGCCAGACCTAATATATTTCTTCACTGGTTTCATGAAGTTGATCTTTCAGTATGTGAAATAACACAGTTCAGTGAGTAACAAGTGCAGTTTCAGGGTTATAGCCTTCAGAAAAGTAATTTTAATGTGCAAGTTGACTTAAGCTAGAGAACGAATGACTGTATTTCCCCAAAAATGAGCACATTTAATTGATTTCATTAAAATCCAAGGGAGCCTTGGAAAATTTTAATTTTAAATTTCAAATGGCCACTCATCTATTAACCTAACTGGGGCTCCACATGGAGGCCACTCCTTAACCACAAGTGTTGAGTTTGGGTTTGGTTTGAAGTATATCAGATGTGGGTCAAGTAGTCCTTGCAAATGCTATGTTTCTGTTTGTTTTATCCTGCTTTGTTGTCATATGGGATAGTGAAAAACGTGCCACAGAGTTTGAACAATCACAGGAAGGGATTTCAAAGTGAAAGATTATTTACCTGAAGCCTAATATGAGTCATGCCATTCAGGTAAATCCTGTTCATGTGGTTTGAATAGGAGAAAAATATTTACAACTATCTGAACAAGGTCTGCTATTGATACAAAATTCTGTTTCCAATTTGTTCTTTTCTCCCCCTCCCTTCACCTTAGTCAGATATGAGGCTCTCCCAACAGTCTAAACTTCCTCTCTCTTCTTCTGTCTTCCTGCAGATCCATCATTGTGGTCCCAGGACCATGTGCGCCAGTGGCTTGAGTGGGCCATCAAGGAGTACGGCCTGTTAGAGATCGACACGGCTATGTTTCAGAACACAGACGGCAAAGAGCTCTGCAAGATGGGCAAGGACGATTTCCTCCGGCTCACCACCATGTACAATGCAGAAGTGCTTCTCTCTCATCTCAATTATCTCAGGGAAAGTAAGTACACTTTGTGCAACTTAAGTGCAGAGATTAACAAAGAGGCCAATCAAGAGATGACAATAAATTAATGGTTTATTGGAACAAATATTGAACTGCAGAATAGAATTGGTATTCCTGCTGTACATCCTGCTGTTTGTGCTTAAGATAAAAGCATCCATCTTTTCCAAAAAATAGAAGTCAAAATCAAGACACAAGCCTCTTTTCATATACTTTTCTCTACTTTTGGATGGACAGTGAGGGGGAAAATATGCCAAACCCGAGCAATCAACATGACACTTTTTTTTTGTCACCGCACTATATTTATATTACCATCAATAAACAATGAAATAGCTTTTACTGGAAACTTATTTCTCCATAATGCCTACGCAGTATTTAGCAGAGCTGTGGAAACCAAGAGTTTTTTCCCCCCTTGTCGAGATAACCATCGACTACATCCCCCACTTGACTTTGCAGCGCTTTATTCCACGTGGTCCAGAAAGATGGAGCCCAGGTGCATTGCCTCAGGAATCATGCTAGGCCTGCGTGTTCAGAACAGCAAGGAAAGTTGATCTGCAATTTGCAATAGAGGCAACTAAATTTGAGCCTCATACCTTTGAAGAGTTCCTCGGTGCAATCCTGCTTCATATGTTTCGGCTGGGAAACAAAGCCAATTTTCTGGGGCAGTATGCAAATGACATTTTAATATTAAGATTAACATCTGGCATGGCTACTGGTTTGAATGCACAGTATAGTCTACAGTAGTTCGAGCAATAGATATGTCTGCTGTTTACTATGAAAATAAACAGATTGTAATGATTGTTGGACATACACAGAACAGTATGTCCCATCTCTGAATTCCTCTCATTCTGTACTTTAAAATAGAGAGAGCTGCTACTGCTGCGGCTGCAGAATACCATGACACCATGTTGGGTGGAGTGACTGATGGCTCAACTAAATTTAACATTACTCCCAAGAAATTGCGATGGGCCTCGGTGTGATGTAATGGGAACTGTATTTTGTGGGTGTCAACAGTTTTCTCTATGCACAGCGTCTGGGCAGAGAGAGATGCTTGTCATGAGTATAACAGCCTCATTGTGCAGTGCAGCAGCGGGTGGATCTGTCTGACCGCCACTGGGCACACTCCGCAGAGCAGTTTTCATTATGGCCACTGGCTGCGGGACTTAGCCACGGCTTAGGCGGGCTGTACCGCGACTCTGCCCATTGCTGCCCTTTTTTTGATTTAGACCTTGTGTGTTTTGGAGACAGAAGAGATGTCTCGGGAATCCTCTCCACTTGCCAGTTGAAATTGCTTTGGACCCTTTCCCAACAATCAAAAAGATGAATGCTCCCGTCCCGTGCCTGGACCGACACGGTCTCTAAAAAGCAGCTCTCTAAAAAGTGAGCAGTGTGTGTTATTGACACTGGGAGCCTAAGGGCAAAACGAACCATGTTAGTAAATGAACGTCTAAGGAAGACTGAGAAGGAGGAGGAGATGGAGAAGGAGAAGGAGGCTGAAGCTTTATGCAGACCCTGCAGGGCTGATGATTTGGAAACTAAAGCCGTTCTCTCTTTTCCCCTCGCAGCACAAACAAACACAATCATAGACGTGGAGCAACCCTGTCCAGAAAATAGACCTCTGGCTTCCCTCACGAGAGTTGGAGCAGGGCTGAGCTTCCAGAATACTGAAAAAGAGAGAGGGAGGGAAAGACTTAGCCAAGTCCTGGAAGTATTAGTGATTACAGGTCATGTGATGTCTTCCCTCAACCCCATTCCCCGCTCTTTCCTTTATTACCCCCCATCCTCCTCCAAAAAATGGATGGTCCAACGGGGTACCGCAATCATTTCATACACATCTGTGTGCATCATGTGTGCCTTTGGTTCTGTTTATTGAACCTCTGATTAACATTCCTCGGAGTCATTAAGCCCTGTATGTACACTCAGCACAGGGCAGGGAAACACTTCCCCGCCCTACAGCCATACCATAACAAAACATTCCTGCCACGTCACGCGCAGAAATATGGCTCAGACACCCACACTGGTGCAATTGCGGGCACAATCTGATCATCTGACTGGCTACCCAGCTGCTTACAGTAACAAGGGTAGTTGCCCATGCATTATTTTGGCCTCCTTGTTGGTCACTTATCCAGATTTTTATAAGTGATGGCCGCCCGCACCCCAATGTGCTTTCAATTTGGGGTGCAATTTGAGAATTTGTTCAAATTAGTCTGTCAGGGAGGGACCGCGGACTGTTTGCTTTATCGCACCCATGTAGGTCGGTTTGATACCACATGTGCTGGAAACAGAGCGGTGCAAAAGAACCTCAGACAATGAAGGACTGTATCCTCTGACACACAAGGATGCAAGAAGAGAGAGGGAAAAAAGAGAGGGGAGAAATGAAAGAGGGAGTGAAGAGGGAAAGTAACGAGACAGAGATCTGAGAGCTGAACCTACTGTAGATGTAAAGACAGATAATAGTAGAAATTTGATGAACATAACGTTGTCAGATAGATTTTGCAGTAGTTATTTGAGGACAAGGGCAGGAGGGTGTGAGCAAGAGAAGCAGTTATAGAAAGAGAGTGAGAGATAGAAAAAAGAAGTAGGGGGTGGGGGGGACGACTATTTTTTAGAAGTGTGTGGAAACGGTCCGAGGTGGTCATGATTGAGTGCCATTGGAGAATAGCAATAGTTCTGTTTCCCAGCTGTTGTCGTTGCTTGTGTGTCTGGATGGATTTACAGTGAGGGAGTCAAGACAAAGAGAGAGAGAGAAAGAGAGAGCGGGAGAGAGAGAGAGAGTGAGAGAGTGATAAGTCTGGGCTTCTGCACTGCTGCTGCTCGCTCCAGAGTGGGGGACATTCTCGAGCCCTCAATAGTTTATACAGACCATAAACATCTGGGCTCGAAGGCTGAGTAGGGAAAAAGGAGGTCTGGAGAGCTCTCTCTCTCTCTCCCCTCACAACATTTTTATTGAGCTCCCCTTGCATTAGTTCTTTCTATTGGCAGATTATCACTGGTGCAGAGGGGCTCAACGGCCTGGCTCTGTGCCCTTTGCTGTTAGCTGTCTACTGTTAGCCACCATTACAGAGCAGTTTGCGGCTGCTCACTTGACTGCTGGGGTTCAGACACTTAGCACTACAGAAATTTATGTACGTATCACATTAACATAAGATGAGGTGGATAATAAGCAGTTGCTATTTATGTAAACACTAAGATGAGCTCAGCTGTAATTTAAGATGGCTGCATAGAAGTCCATAATAATTGTACTTGCATCCCAATTGCAAGTTAAGAATGTTGATAGGGGGCAATTCTGCAAAAACTTGGATTTCATTCAGTGATGCTGGCAACCCTAACATTTTCTTTCTGCAATACCTGCGCATGGCAACTATGGTTAAAGTTAGGGTAAGACAGTGGTTATGGCAAACGAACGGTGGTCAGGGTACTGTTATGATGCCAGAATACTCCAACAGAAGCGCTTGGCAGATGGCAGGACAGTTCCTCACACAAATTTTCTGGCACTTTCCAAGCATCTCGAAAAGTTTAGACAACTAAACACGTGGTCAAGGCCAGGGAGGTTTCAATTGTGGTCCACAAAAGAGTGTCAAAAACCGACGTTCAGTGTTGGTAGGACATCAGCACTTTTTTCATCTATCCGTCCATCACAGCCTCCTCACTAAAATGTTTTGTTGAGCAACATCACTCCAAATCCACATTTGTTCAGTCATTTTAGTAATTGAAACACGCAACCTATTCTGTTGTTCTCTGGGGAAGATGAATCTGGAATACACCAGCCCAGTATTGCTACGAATTACGTTCACATTTATGTCCAAAGGTAACATTCATTACCAATGCAGGAAGGAGTGGGCCCTATATGTAGCAAGGAGGAAGTGGAGGTCATGGTGTGTAGTGCATTTCAATTTAATTTTGAGTTGTTTTTTTCACGGTCACAAACCAGAAATTTATGTATTTATATTATGTTTTTTAAAACTAAACCACAATCGTTCTCTAAAATGTATTACGTTATTGTGCCTAAATCTAACTTAAGTGGTAGCAGATAAGGGCTAAAGGTGGGGGGAGGCAATTAGCCTGCATCTTTGTAGCCGACCGTGTCTAGACGTTAGCCAGTGGTGACCCGCAAATATTTGGCACTGGTGAGTCTATATTCAGGAATCACCTAGCTTAATTCAGGGCTGGCGGTAACCCTATTTGTAACCTTGGTTCTGCGTCCATTACCCCGTGATTCAGTCACATAGACTTCTGAGCGTAAACCTTAATGGGAAAATCCAAACCTTTTGCTTTTGCTTTTTGTTTGGTTTTACCTGTTAGCAGCTGTTTGCGTCCTCAAAAGTATTTTTGTGATCTCAGAAGTGTTTATTGTCTTCCTGTCTGCTGCCTTTTCCTGTAGCAAAACCGATGTTTAAATGCAGTATTTCCACAGACTGGGCATGTGGATGAAGCCCACAGCTCATACAGCGAAGGAGAGAACAGTGGAGCCAGTGGAGTTTTTTGTGCTGTTGCTGAAAAACTGTACTCAGCATTTACACTGGAGACGCTGGGGACATCACCACATTTTGAAAAGGCTGATTTTGTCCCCTTCACATTTTGAAAGCAACCAGAAATTATAACAAATTAAATTGCTTTGAAAAAGGTTTATTTTCTCAATAAAAAAATGTACAGTACAATGTAAATATAGAATTAACAATTGTGCATTGTCCAAAAAAAGTAACTTAAGCTAAAAAAAACAAGCTACTGATTAGGCCTACTGAATTATAGTCCATTACATTTTCAGATTTTGAATTGTTACCTGCCACCTGAATATTGTGTTTCCCTTTCTATAAATAAAGACATTTTCAGCATAAATTGGTGCAGAAAATGTGTCTAGAATGCAGGAAATTAAGTGGTTAATGCTCAAAATCTTCTGGGGAGGACCCCCAGCCCCCCACTCATATGTTTCCAGAACTGAATATTTCTTCAAAATAGTTTTAAAATATCTATTTGACTTAATAGTATCGTCCCACCCCTAATCTGTCCCCACCACTTTTCAACACAAATTGACGCCCTTGGTACTCAGCCTGTGGGAATATGGGACTTAATTGTTGGTTTCGCTCTGGTAATTAGTAAAGTAATGTCAATACTACTAAGTGTAATGAATTGCATTTTGTATGTACAGTTTTTAGCACTGCACACAATGTCATTCTGATAGTATGGCCAGCAGCTGAGAAAATGCTCACATTGGTCGTTTTGGAAAGCAATGACAAATAATCTTGTTTGGTTTGGAGGACTTGGACTATTCTCACATGCACAGTGCAGTTTTATCCATACTGCTAAAATGACAACTTACTGTTGGCTGGAGCCCATTTGACCAACCTTGAGAGAGATGCCCAAAACTGCTTGACTGGGACCCTCAGTTTGTTCACAAAACGCAGACCAAGTGTTTGAGGCAATGGTATCATGTGACTCATACATAATAAACAGCAGGGGCCCAATGGAGGTCAGTCACAATGCTGAACAAGCCCTTAGAGATCTCGGTCAATATCATGGGCATGTCAAACTGGAAGACAGGGCCTTTTGAAAGAGCCATCAGTCATAGGAAGGAGAGAAAAGAAAATTGTTTGTGGATGTTATGTAATCTAGCAGACTGTGAGCAGATGTGACTGGAGAGGAAAAGAGAGAGTGAGGGTCTTAAAGGCTGAACACTGGCCAGTCCTCCCACTGTGCTGTCAGATTACCGGGACATGTTTGTTTTCTGAGAGAGGAAGAAGCCGTCCAAATAAATAGGCAGCACAGCCAAGACTCCCTCCACCAAACTGTCAGCTGTGGTGTCTCTCTCGCCCTCTCTTGCACACTCTCCCCTGCTCTCTCACTAACGCTCTCTCTCTCGCGCGCGTACAGCAGTCCTGAATTTCTCTGTGGGATGGTTTGAGGTTTTCTCAGCAATGCTGCCTGTTTGCCTGTCTGGGTCAGCCCACATATGTGGCACACAGTAGGAAAGGGGTTAACAGCTCCTTCCTTCCCCCTTCTCTCCCTCTCCCTCTTTTTCTGCCTGTCTCTTACACTTTCTCCGTCATTCCAAAGATGGTGCTTTGGAGGCTCGCTTGCCCCTGTGCATTTACACTCTGTGTGAGGAATTATTTTTGTACGGGGAGCTGCGTTTGATTGCTGTGCAGGGACCCTGACTCATACAATGGCTCCCCTGTTCTGAGGCCCCCAGGTTTCTAAACTAGACCCAGAGCCTTGGGGGTGCCGTGGAGTAGGTAGAACTGGGAGGGGTGGGGTGTTGGGAGGCTAGAATACATTTGTAGAGCACTCCACTCCCCCCCCAGCCATCCCCTAAAAAAACAGACCCCTAGTCTGCCACCCTGGGCCCCTTCACCCCAAAACCCCACCTCTGCAAGTTAGGTAAGGATCCTGCATCAAATCTCAAGAAAAGCAAATGTAATTATGCTTTTGAGTTTTCCGTCCTTTTTCAGATTGCCCCATTCAGAAAAGGTATCTTCCTTACTCAGCAGCTCTCCGCAGCCATCTTAGTGTTAAATTGTAACCCTCCCCATGTAGTAGCTGCTTTGTGTTTTCTCTGTGCATTTTTGGCTCTGTTTTTCCACTTTCTGATTTATGCCTGGGGGCAGCTAAAATTAAGAGAGCATTTTGGTGCCGCCCAGGGTGCCTGTGTAAGTGGAGGAATGCAGCGCAGAGTTCTGCTCCATAAGGTAAAATGAATAGGCAGACATATGCAGGCTCTTGCCTCTCTGACTTTATTATTCAGATGTAGGGTTTGCAGTTAAAATGCTGACAGGCTACAGCGTTTTTCCTACATGTAAATGACTGACTGTGTGCTGGATTTGCTTTCATTGGGGACTAGATTCAAGTATTGTGAATTATTTTTTTACTTTCTAAGACAAAACAGGTACACAATTGAAAGAAATGTAAAGGACCTTTTAGTGCTGCTTGACAGTAATTGAGCTGAACCATCTACTGCCACCTGCTGGCTATATTTATAGCCATGGAGCTTCAGACTTCAGGGTAGGAGCGCAGTAGGTAGTAAAATTCCCCTTCTAACAAATTTATCATGGCTAATGTACATATTAAAATCTGTAAATGTTCTGCCAGATCTCATATTTTAAACCAAACAATAATAAAAATACTTAAGAAAATGCTGAACTGTAAACAGGAAACAATCACTGGATGCTCATATCTATGGATTTTCTAAAAAATTAGCACAAATTCTATCGATTTTGGGTGTTGTTCACTTGGCTTTATGCATTACGGGACTGGTTGATAAGACATTGTTTTGTCTTACTGTACTGTCTTTTTTCTCATTTTTACAACAGGTAGCTCATCATTATCCTACAATACACCATCTCACACAGACCCATCACCACGCCTGGCTGCCAAAGAGGGTAGGGGAAAAATCATTCTCTATTCTTTCTCTCCATGTATATATCAAGGGAGCAAGTTCAGATGCCTGAAGATAAGCTTTAGACAAACAGATAGAAACAGATACAGATACACACAGAGCACACAAACTTGAGAATACAGACCACTCACACAAAGCTCGCACATTCAGTCCCTGACTGCCACTGACAAAGCACTGCGCAGGTGCACCTTTTGTGCTGCTAATTATAATATGAGCAGGCCGTGCTATTCAGAACCACTACCTGAACTCTGTGACAACACATAGTATGTCAGAGGGGCAGTCTCAGAATAGAGGCACATTAACAAGAAGACAAAAGCAGTGTGCTGATGAGGTCTATGCACAGCAGCAGGGGCGAGAGCAGACGGTGAATGTAGCGATTATGGGAAAGAAGTGGGATGTAAGAGATGTGAATGAGGTTGATTGTTGGCAAGACAGGCATCAGAGACAGGTGCTGAAGCCACAATGTGTTCGGAAAAGAGTGCTTGTGTGCGGGTTTCTACTGCGTGTATAAGGATTAATGACAGAGAGGAGTAGCTGTGCAGGAAGGAACTCATTGTGATAAACGTGCCCCTTCTTGTCTTCTTGTCATTTTGCACTTTTAGACATTTCGTACTACAAAATTTTTCATTAGTAGTTTTGATGAGATTACAGTCACCTCTTTTTAAGGACCACATAGGTCAGTAGCCTGATTCAAACAAGTGGCACAGTGAATACTGGTTATTAGCCTGCAAAATATCCATCTTAACTGACAAATCTGTGTATTAATTGAGGTTACTTCACATGACACAAATCAACTTTACTCACAAAATAAATTTAATGCATTTCCTTGATATTAGTTGATTAATTTTTTGTCTTTTTTCAAGATATTGACACTTCTTTCTTAAAATGCACATTACTTGAAAAAAAAAATAGGAAGAATTAGCTCACCTTGTTTTGAGATTTGTCATTTGTCTTTTGTGGGGTTTTTTAAATATATGATTAATATTAAGGGTGAATGTTAGCATAAAGGATTTGTATGAGCTGCTTGGTGTCATGTTTTTTTAGTTAGTCAACTTTATTGTCAGTTCTGTCAAACATATAGAGGATTGAAATGCTGTTTCTCTCACACCCTGGTGAAGGCATTACTTTTCTGTAAAACACCAGCGTTGCATTTCTTGTGACCAAATAAAAAAGAGCATAAAATTAAAGGAAAAAAAAAAAAAGAATGACAAAATGTGATGGAGTGAGGTAGATTGGGCATATAAAAGGAATCTGTATCCCTGCAGATTTGTCTATGTCTCAAATTTACTCATTGAATCAAAGTTTACATTGACAAATCTATAATAAAGTAGAAATGCAGCAGTCAAATGAGACCTGTTGTGGTGTAATGTTGCACTTGTAAAAGTTTTGCAAAAGCCAAGCTGGGTTTCTAAGACCAACGCCCACAGCAGCCCAGGATGATTGACTGTTTCCTCTGGATACCTTTTAACTCTATAAACATTATTATGTGCTGACACAACATGAGCTAGGTGAAGGCTGCACTGCGTATCGGTAAAAAAAAAGCTACAAATCCTTTACATTGACTATATGGTGTCACCACCAGAGACGGGAGAAAGGACTGCAATAACAGTGATAGCCTTGCTCACAGGATGAGGGGCCCTATCAAGGCAGGAGGAGAGGAAACACTAGGTCTGATAAGTGTCTGACAATGCCTTCTGCCTCTCTCTATCGGCCCCAAAAGTGAGCATTAGCTGGTCATGTGCTTGTTCTCGTCAATACCAATAAACCAATGGGCAGGCCAGATAAGATTCTGCTCAGTCACCCCCGACCCCGGTCTTCCTGGTTCTCAGCGCCAGGTATTTAGACTGGCAGGAATAGAGGGTCACTCCCTTCAGCAGCATTTCCCTTTCACAAGAGGTGATCTATTATGAGCTCCTGTAACACTGACTGTGCCTCTAGTTGTGTCCCGTGATCCCAGCCAATGTATTGCTTCTAGCTGAGAAAAGCCTGCATCTCCAAAAGGGGGACTTTTCAAGAATAAGGATTTTAAACCAAGTAATCCGACTGAAACCGACTTGTCCAATTTAAAATTAATCACTTCATTTTGAAATATTTGCATTCATCTTAAAATAATGCAACTTATTATACCATATTAAATACTACAAAAGTCACTTTCATGCAACATGAAGTGAAAAGGTGAAACAAGATGGAGAAGAAAAACATCACAATTGGAATTGGGAGTTTGTGACTCAACAATAAAACAAGTCTTGCTTCAGGAGAAGCCTTTATCAACATTTTCTCAGATCAGCACTGCCAGATGTTCACGTTCATATTGCCTTTAGAGAACAGTCAAATACCATTCAGGCTCTTTGGGGTAGAGTAAGCACGAGGATACAGCAGGAGACAACCCTTAATCTGCTCCAGACTCTGTGGTGTAAAATGCAATGTTATGAATAAAAGAGAGCATATAAAACATGGAATGCAGCAACTATGAAAGGGGGTGTGTGTATTTGTCTGTGTGTATCTAAAGTCTGTGTCTACTGTTTGCCTGTGGATAGGCATGTGTGTGTGTGTGTGGGGGGGGGGGGGGTTCCTTCATGTCTCAGTGCAGCATGTTTTACAGTATGCATTTACGCTGCTTTTGATTATGTATTTTGGACAGTATATGTATATTGTGTTTTGCATCATCTTGATACAGCACTGTCTTCGTACCTTTTTAAATTTTTCACTTCTGTTTGCATCGCTGCTATGAGATCTTGGAATTTTATAATTCGCAGCAGGGACGCTCATATTCTCCGCTGCTTTTCAGTGAATGGGGAAAAGATGATGATTCACCACTGTGAATGTGTTTGTTTTACTGCAACGTTAAAGTGGCAATAGTCCGCCATTATGTGTAGAAGCTTCAATATATGACTTTAAGTTTTTCCCATTTGCATCTTGAAATTAAAGGGAAAAAAATAAACGAAATACACAATTCTTTCTTTAAAATAAAACCAATAGAAAAGGTCAACTGATAACTTTTGCCTTTACATATGCATGAATACGTTTATGTGTGCATGCTGTAGTTTTGCGGTCCCCTAAACATTTTTGTCACTTGATCCTTCTCTGTTCTGGTGCACCCACTGTCTCCTCACCTCGTCTCACTCCTGTACTTTGCCATCATTCTCCTCCTCCTATGGCTCCTTCCTCACACAGATGGCTTTTAAAGCACCTGTATCACTGGAATTAAAACAGTTTACCGTGTCTGAGTCTCTCTCCTTGGCTCAGACTCCAGGTTAAAAACAGTCTACGGCTCGACTCTCTCCTTTTCCTCTCTTTCTCTATCTCACCCTCTATGCTCAGTTGTTCTTTCTCTCCCACTCTGTCTCCTTCTGTCTTTCTCCGTTACTCTCTATGTTTCTCTGCCTCTCTCTCCCGCTGTCTGTCTAGCACTGGGGCCTTGTTTTGACTAACTGGTCCTGCAGTCTTAGTCTCCCAGGAGCGTGCACCACACCCCAGACCAGAGTGGAAACTGGCTCAAGTCGCAGTCAGAGCGAGGCCTGGAAAAATGAAGGAGGAAGGGGGTTGGGGAAGAGACGGCTCTGTGTGTGCATATTCGGGTCTATGTCTGTGTTTGCGTGGCTTGCCCTGAGTACCCAACCACTCGGGCTTTGTACATTTTACCTGCTGCTTCTTCCTTCTTCTGCACTTTCACTTCCACTTCCCTGCCTTTCACTAAGTTCAGTTAACTTCAGCACGGAGTGATTATGTTGGTGAAAAACCTCAATTGTGTCTATTCTCGCTCGTTGCTGGTAGAGGGAAAATTGTTTAGATAAATTAAATGTGTGGCCAACAACTACACCAAGGATATATAAAAGATGCTGCTGAGTCCTTAATACTGGACATGTCCTCCAGCCCATACCAGACAGTAGCCCGGTTTGCTGCCATTATTTTCTTTTCAAATTCCAAAGTTGTGTTTCGTCTGACCCTATTTTTTTTCTCCTCCCTCTCTTAAATTTCTCCTTCTCCTCTTTCTCTTTCAAGCCTTTTTATGCACTTAATCACTCTGTCTCTATCTCCATCTGTCTGCTTCTCAATTTTGTTTCTTTCAGTGACTCCTTCACCTCCTCTCTCATCTCTCCTTCATACGTCTCTGCTTCTCCCCCTCAACCTCTTCTCCTGTTTGTAACCCCTCTCTGCATGTATGGAGGTAGCCCCGTTGTGCTTTCTTCGGGGTGGTGGAGAGTGGATGGAGGGGGAGCTGGCGGTGAGTGGAGGGGAAAAAAGGGCCAGTAAAACAAAGAGAGGTTGTCTGCAGGCTAGGCAGGCAGGAAACGCAAGTCTCCCAGGACTCTCCCCCAGTCACTGCTCTTTGGCTATCCTGCTGGCCCACACCAGATTGAACCTGACAGCCCCGCTGAGCTACAGCAGCTCGCTTTTTATTTGTCCCTCTTCTCCCTCTTTTTGTCTTTCTCTCTATTACACTCTCCATTCTTTTGATCATATTCTAATTTATTCACTTTTCTTTTGCTTTGTTACAAGCGCATATCCTTCATTTCACTTTATCCACACATTTTTGCTGTGTCACTTGTACCATCTTGCACTTTTACTCCATTTCGAATATCCTTTCTTTCCCTCACAAAGACAAGAACCCCTCCTGTGGTCTGAAGACAGGAATGGGCTCCTTGATGAAATGTCGGGGGTTAGAAGTTGAAAAGTTGGAAATTAGTGAAGAGATCAAGAGGTCCTTGAGCAGCAGGAAGTTTTCCCATTGGTGGATATTCTGCTAGTAAGGAAAGGGAAAACAACGCAACAAAGCATCATTTGAAGGTATCACAAGGCACATAATTGGATTTTAAGTATTTTTACATTTTCATTGATGTATTGGTGGATTAGTTAAATACTTTTTTTTTTAGGCTACTAGGCAAACTTTGTTTTTGTGGCTGCAAAGAGATTATAATCTAGACTTCAGATGTGCTGAAAGGAGAAAGTTTGATTGAGAGGTTGATTTTGTGTGTTTTATTATTTGTTGCTTATTTTAGAAAAACCAAGCTGTCAATATGTATTAGTCCACAGGAGGGCAGTATTGAACAGTGTTTAGAGGTGGACGTGCATGAGGTGGAAGTTAATGATGAATTTGATGTCACTGGATGTTTCTCTGGTGTGGCTGTGCGAGGTTACATGGGTCAAGATGGCACACAAACCAAATGTGTTGTTGCAGTGAAGACGACCATCTCCATTTGTTTCCACCACTGTTACCATAAGCCATCTTTAAAGTGTGTTTTGCATACCAAATTGATAGACTTGCATGAATTAACATGACTAAGATCTAGAAAATTTAGACAAAGTGAAGTCACTAGTTTCTTTCAATGATTGATAGCTGAAATACACTGGTTTGAACACAGTGGAGAATAATTTGCAAAAACATAAATATTCATGACAAACAAATCCCTACGCACACAATACACACACATAATGCATTCATAGCTTGGGATCAGCACCCTCACTAACTTCTGAAATGTCAAAACAAATAATTGTTATGATCTATTCAGACTGATAATTAATCATGTATACTGAGTATAAACACAATGCAGTAAGGCACACCTTTTCTATGTTTGAGATGAGGACCTGACAGCAGTTATTGACCTGATTCATAGGAAAATTTGGTGTCCACTTTGTTGCAGCAGGATTAAGTCTTGCTCTTTCTCCTTATCAGTTAAGAGTTCCAACTCTAGGGATTCAAACTGCCAACTTCCAAATTCTGCCTACACTGATGGGAAATGGGATTGCCTCTGGGTGCTTATCCCAGCAACAACCTTGTGTCATCACCATCCCCACTACACGTCTCTATCCGCTGCCCTCTAGGAGACACACTGTTGACAAAAAGATTTGCAGATCATGATAACACTGTGAACAAGCATAAAGCATATGTGGCCACAATATGCATCACATTTTCCCTGCATTTCCTCAGTAAAAGTATGAACGGTTTCAGGCCACAATAATACAAAACATCAAGGGTGCTGGCCAGGTGCACTGTGAGTATACCGGGTGTTTTTGAGACATTGCCAGGGGAACAATACATCCTCTGTTTTATCTGCTTGTGTCAGAGTGACTGATTGTTACTAAGAGCAGTCCAATTTCACACTCAGGTTTGAACTGCAGACACATAGCAGATAGAAAGAACCCATGCAAACTGTGCCAGTTTGGCTGTTTGTCAAGGGCTGTTTGTGTGGGAAGAGGGATCAGGATGAATATCATGCGCATGTATTGTCTCTGTGTGTGTCTCTGTTGTACGTTAATTTGCACCAGTCCCTTTATTTGTGGTTGTGTTGCAAGCGGCCAACTGTACTCTGTCAAAGATTGTGCCATCTACATTTAAACCACCACAGCATGACAAACAAAACCACATTACCATGTCCAGATATCCTGTGAAGAGCATCTTTAACCATGTTTTGATAGATTTATAGATGCCATTTGGCACTGGTCTCCCTGTTTTTCGCTGTGGCAGTTGCAGTCATGTGATCGGCTAGCACACAATGAGAATCCACTTACTTTATTCACATACACAAAGGCAAGTTTACTGTGATTTGACTAAATGCATAGAATTTTGGTCAGACAAATGCAGATTTCTATAGCACTGGATTGCGTCCACTAATCTTTTGTGAGTTGTATATACATGCATATCTCAACCTCTTAGAAAAAAGGCAAATATACTCAAACGTTGCCCTCCCCTTTTTCCTCCCCCTTTGTCAGACCCTTCATATGATGCTGTACGGCGGACAGGATGGTCAAACAACATGCACAGTGGCAAAGGTGAGGACGCAAAAATCACATTACAAAAATCACAAAGCATTCCCAACATCCACACAGTCTAGACGTGTAGGACAGACTCCTAAAGATTACAGCCTCTGTTGTCAGAATATCCAATTTAATCCACTTTATTTATATAGCACAATTTAAAAAACAACAAATATATAACATGAACAGACAGTCAAAAGAAGTCAGCCCAACCACTGACAATAACCTTATTTACTTTGGACCTCTGCTGATGTGCCTTCAATTTGTGAGGCCTAGTTATCTGTAGCCACCCTTCTGATGTTGTCTCTGAACCTTTTTATGTCTGTTTCTCTCTCCCTCTCTCTCCACTGATTGCCTCTCTCTCCGCAGGCTCACCAGTGGTTACTCAAAATGTGACCAAATCCACTGAGCAGCCCAGAGCTCAGCCAGGTAATGCCTTACCAGGAGTCTTTCTTGATCTATGTAGTAAGCACAAAGCTAACAAAGCTATCTTAAAGCTAACTCATTAGCATGGATATCCCTTTGTGCAAGATTGCTTGTTAAAGTTGTTTTCTCCTCTGTCTGTTGCATTGTTTGAAACTAGTAGTTGCTAAAGGTCTAATGTTTAAAAGCTAATGTAAGTAAAGATGCCTAAATTGGCCACAGCGTAAGTGTAAAACAATTGGTTGACCAGCAATTTAATAATGAACTGTTTGGAAGTCTACTAACAAGCGTAATATGTTTACTTGTGTTGTGTTTAGTTTTTTCTTACCTCTCAGCCACACATCTATTAGCATGTGTAATTGGTTTTCCCGGTCAGCTCATTATTCAGAGGGTGTGCAGAGTAAAATAATCAAAACAAAAAAATACAAGACATTACAATATAATGCTCTCTCATTTTGTATGTGATGAGAGTTTTGTATATTTTTTGCAACTGCTACTACAACCTGAGATATTATATTATAAGCGAAAGCAGTAAAGACCTTTTTTTAGTTCAGTCAGCTGTTGCTCAGTGACATGTTTATTTAGTCTTCAGTCTTCCATATTATATCACCATGGTAATCAGCGTCTAGACCAACAAAGTGCTCTTTTTGTCCACAGATCCTTACCAGATTCTGGGTCCCACCAGTAGTCGCCTAGCCAATCCAGGTAAGATTTTGAGCTACTCTAGTCTTTATAATGCATCTGCTTGGCATTATAACGAATTGCCGAGCTGTCAACAGTGAATAATTAGCTTTTAGTTGGATGAGGCTGCATCTTTGATCATTGTTTGTGTATGTGTGTATTTGTCAGGTTCTGGTCAGATCCAACTGTGGCAGTTCCTTCTGGAGCTCCTCTCTGACAGCGCCAATGCTGGCTGCATCACCTGGGAGGGCACCAACGGCGAGTTCAAGATGACGGACCCAGACGAGGTGGCGCGGCGCTGGGGCGAGCGTAAGAGCAAGCCCAACATGAACTACGACAAGCTGAGCCGCGCGCTGCGCTACTACTATGACAAAAATATCATGACCAAGGTGCATGGCAAGCGCTATGCCTACAAGTTCGACTTCCACGGCATTGCTCAGGCACTGCAGCCACACCCCAACGAGTCCTCCATGTATAAATACCCCTCGGACCTAGCCTATGTGCCTTCCTACCACGCCCACCAGCAGAAGGTCAACTTTGTGTCCCCACACCCCCCATCCATGCCTGTCACCTCCTCCAATTTCTTTGGACCCACCGCTCCGTACTGGAGTTCGCCCACTGCAGGCATCTACCCCAACCCAAACGTTCCCCGCCATCCTAACACCCATGTGCCATCCCACCTGGGTAGTTACTATTAAACACCCCACTCTGACCATCCAGCACCCTCTAAAATCTCCCTTTTACCAAAATGAAGTCCACGATTGGTGACCTGCACTCCCAATGAGGCTGAACCAATGAAGACTGAGTTGATGGGGGCATTTGTCCTCTGAAGAAGTTTTGCTCCTCAATGAAGGATGATAAAATTGGACGAGATTTTTTATTTTTTTTTATTTGTAAGAATCTATAAACAACTGGATGCTATGGTCCAAAATGGAATACTACTTACCTTTACAAGACTAGCAACTGTTTGTTAATGTTTTTTGGACGTGCGTCTGAGTTTCCTGTGCCTTTCTCTTTCCCATCCTCCAGAAAGCTGCACCTACTGGTGTCCTTTCCAAAACCTTCCCAAACCAAAGCCTGAGGACAGGAGAACAACTCATGTCTGTCAGCCTCCTCACCATGCTACAGTACCAGACATGGGCCTATTATCTTTGGGTCTTAATCAACATCCTCCTCAGTACATTATGTACATTATGCTTCTGCCTTTTTCCGCTCGTCTACAGCCTTGTTAAGGGGTTTCTTATTCCCACCACATCTAGCCTTCTGTTTCTTCTGTTTCTGTCTGCTAGTCTATCCATCTGCGTCTTTTTATGTGTGTGTGGAGAGTCTTCTGGAATACGCTGGACAAGGAAGAGCTCTCAAAGAGATGGACTTTTCTCAGCACTGAATAAAATTTGGCAACTGGAATATGCCATTCACCATTTAATTTATCCTCCAAACTGGAAGGCTAGAGAAGAGTTGAATGCAAGGGAAGGAAGCGCTGTATGTTCTGCTGACCTGGGTCAACTCAGTTACTTAAAATGCCTTCTGCGTGTTGTGTGTGGAGTTCAAGATGGCCAATGTGTACAATTAACTCGGGTAAGCTGAGTCAAGATGTAACTGAAGTAATTTGCAATAATAATTCAACCCAGGTCAGATGTTTTCAGGGGGCCACACACTAGGCTATTAAATGTTTGCCATGTTGTTGCCTTTCAGCCATGCCATTTCCAGATGTTTTGTTGCTCGACCATGTCAGTATTAATGTGAATGTCTTCTGGTTTGTGAAACACGCTTAAAAGGGATACCCTGCAGCAAAATCAAAATTTGTCAGATGTTTTCATTTTGTTTAATTAAAAAATACATTCATTCGTTTTTAACACTATGTTTGCTGCACACGTCTTAATATAAAACATGAATGTGCTTTATATTGTAGATGTGATTGTGTAGATATTATCTACATAATAAGACTGTTTGTAGTTTGGATGTGTTTTTCCATCATCCCTTACAGTGCCATGACTACATCCAGTTTTTGTATATAGTATATAATCAGAAACCTAACCCTCACAGTGCCTTAACTGCTGTTTAATACCATATATTTTCTATTCAAATGAAAAAGCATTACATCAATGCAATGCATAGTAAGATAATCATCATCTCCATGTTTCACCATAAATCTGACAATTTTTGATTTTGAAGTGCACTCTGACAATAACGGCTGCCACGCTGTCTCTTCCTCTTTGTAGGCCAGTCACGACCGTATAGGTCAGCACAGAGAAGTGGCTTAGCAGTAAGCCATGTTAATAGACAGTTAAGTTGCATTTTACCAGGGCTGGATCCTAGTTTGAGAGCAGCATGTGTGTTTGAATGTTAGTTTCTCACTGATCTAATGCCCAGCAAAATGCACATGAATATCAAGTCAGGAGTTCATTATGTAATAGTAACATGTCAAAACATATCCATCTTCTGGTGTTCAAAGCTGTTAATAGCAAAAGTATTCATTTTGAAAATAAATTACTTGGGACTAAGTAGTTTATCAGAGAAAAAAAACCAATAAAGTATGACGAGATGAAACAAAGAAATCCTCAGATTCGCAAACGCTGTGCGTTTGTCAGACCTATTTTTTATTATTTTATAAGCATCAAACAACTAGGCATTAAAGCAACTTACTGTATAAATTATGCAGAGTTATTTTCATATGTGACACCGTATAAAAAGTCAAGAGAATTAATACGAGTTGACCTCGGTCAAAAATGCAAACCTTTGAAGTCCATTTCTGCTAAGTAGTTTGTTCAGCATTTTAAGCGTTTTTATATCTGTACATTTGGGCAATACATTTTAACATTTTTGCTTGTAATTATTATTTTGGAAATTTGGTTGTAACATCCTAAGTGCCTTTATGCACTAAAGATATTTTCTTGTATTCCCAAAACCACAAATGTCTGCTTGAATCATAATCCAACAGCCAGGGATTATTTTAATCTATATGCAACACGTGATTATGATGGATCTTTTCCATTGTGAATCACTTTTTGTGCCAAATAGCCCTGGAATTGGTGGCATTTCCTGTGCTTTAAAGAATTTCAGGTATTTTATGCAAAGTAATACAAACAGTATTAATATTCACAACCAGCTTCTCCTGAAAATTTATAGCTTTAAAAGAATAAATAAAAAGGGAACATTTAATTTGTATCATAAAGAAATTATGTACCCTTAACTTCAGTGTTTCATAAGCATTATCAATGAAAAGGGATCTGTGCTACTTCGTATATGCAATGTATTTTGGATATCAAATATATATATATATGTGTATAATTTTACAATTAACCAATGTATTATCATTGTCATTCCTGCAATGTATGAAGTAATACCTTTTGAAAAAGGGCTTTTGTATAGGAAAATGTGACAAAATAAATGTTTTTACCTCTCAAGTCATCCTCCATTGCCTGCCTGTGGCTAATACCAGCGTGCCAGGACAGATAAATACACAGTTGCTGTATTTTTCAACGGGACATTTTAAGAAACCAGATTTGCAAAATAGTAGGCTAGAATGTTGATAGTGACTAAAAATAATTTTGCCTCACATAGCAACACATTAGTTTATTATACTTAAGTCTATTTTAGCCTTTAAGGCAGCAGTAATCTGTAACGTCTGTTTATTGCACTACAGTGCAAAACAGCTTTCTGCTCCTCACCATTTAAGTCCCCATTTTTTTTATAACTGTTGATCTTGATTTAACTGTGTGTGTCTTTTGAGAGACTGTAGTTTGTGGTGTTGTTGAATTGTTATACTTGTTTCAAATATTTTGTCTACCCCAATTACTGTATATTAATAATGGGAGAATAAATATGTTAGTTCTTGTTGGCAGTACCTGATAAACCAGCAACTGAGTGTATAATGTAAGCCGTAATCATCTCCAGTGGAAACACATGGGTGAAAATGCACCATTTTTATAGGCTTTCTTTTTGTGATGCCAGCTTTTTGCAATGACAATCACAAGTTGAATGTTGCCATTGCAAAAACAGTGATAAACTGTTACACCCTTTGTAGTTCTATCAGCAGATCATACAAGGCCACAAGCTGTGAGCAAGGGAATTGTATGTGTGAAATCACTTTATACTGGTTCACATGAATTTGAAAGTCTCCTTAGTATTTGACTCTTAGCGTCACTTAATTCTCTACCTACAGCTAGATATAAGTGTTGGTAATTTAACAATCTGTGTATATGCATGGTGTCTGTGTTAAATGACAGCTACAGCCTATGTAAGTGCTCTTTTAATTTGTATAAACCATATAGACAAAAATATGTATCACAAACACAGTGACAGTCATCAAGGACAGTTTGGAAGTTTTTATTGAAATATGCTTGTGAAGCATGTGTTTATGCTGCTTAGCAATTTCACACATTCATCTTTTATCCCAGCCCTGCTTATTACTCTGTCACTTGCTACAGCAACATCCCTGGTGCATGACTTGGCGTAGGCAGTTTATTAGAGGTCATAGTGGGAGGTCTGCCTTAACAAAACCTGTTAAAGCTTCATGCTAGCATACAGTATGTGCAGTTATTTCTCTAAAATGAGAGTTCTGGTTTCATGTTCAGAACCTGCAGGCAAAATTATGGGCAGTAAGCAACACCTATTATCTCCCAAACACCTCCGCTCTATTGTTTTTGGATCCCTGTTTGCTGTCATAACTTCACTTTGTTTACAGATGAAAAGAGAAGATAGGGGTTGGCACTTGTCATTACGTTGCTTTCACCTTTTTGATCACAGTCCTTATATGACGTTCCGGCTCGGTTAGACAAAAAATAATAATACGACAGACATTTTTTGAATGCAAAAATATTTATTACAGTGATTTTTTCCACTGAGATCAAATACAAAAAAAAGACTTTCATAATCTAATCAATGCTGTATGCAGCCATAACTTTGTTCTCTCACATTATCTCCACTCAAGAAGAAAACTACAATTACATCACCCACTGTTTGGAAAGAGTGGCCCCTGAGCTTTGCTTGTGCACCAGTGTCTGAATAGTTAAGCATACTCTAATGGTTCAAATCCAAGTGACTCTTGAGTACACCAGCCTACAGTAGCATGAATTATTGAACAGCCACTTTATCTTTTTCTCACTCGTGACAATAGCATGGCCCTCCAAAACTAGTCCTTCAAGTAATTTTGAAGATTTACACACAGTATAATCCATTTGCTTTGTTATTCTGCATCTCCATACTCAGTAAGCCCAGGCCAAAGGTAAATTAGAACCACTCATCTTTATTGAAAGTAAGAGTTCCTATGTATTTTCCTTGTGTGTGTATAAGAAAACTTTGTTTTCCGGTTCTTGAATTGTACCTTTACCACCTTGCAGGACCAGGGCTCCCTTCTGAAATATGTTTATGGGTATGGGTTACATACAAATTGTTCACGAAAAACTGTCCTGACCCACATATTGCTTTCTCATCTGTGTCAAACACAATATAATAATAAATAAGTAGGTTTTCTTTTCTTCATATTTAATTGTTACACAATTCAAAATCTGCCTCCAGCACTTATTTGTCCTTCAGAGTCTTGAGGAGTTTGTCAGTGAGAGGTAGTAGGCTTATACCATTCTCCCCTCCTAATGTTCATTGCAATGTAACGTCATCTCACATCTTGGTGACACTGGGAGGATCACTGATGTCAATCACCTGAAATCCCTGGTTATCATGTCCATCTCTGGAGTGGTGATGATGACCCTTGATGTTGTGGTAACAGTAGGCACAGTGTGCAGTGGCCACTGGCATGACTTTGGAGAAGTTGGAGAAATCTACCCTGTACTTGCCCTCTTTGCTTCTGGAGATGATGGGCAAGAAGTTGTAGCCCCACATGATCTCCTGAGGAACAAAAGAAGTCCGGACTTGACAGGAAGAGCTGGTGGACTCTGCTGTGCCGTCTAGGAAGACAACCAGCTCAAAGTCTTGTTTGTGGAGCGTGTCCACTGCCATATCAAAGAAGGGGCTGCTCTTGTCGATGGTGTGGTAGAGCGTGAGAGGACATACAAAGAAGAGGTTGTCCTTGCCGGCGTCCACCATGAAGTCAATGTTCACCTGGTCCATGATGATTGTCTCTCCATCTGGTGTGGTTGTTGTCCTCAACAGCTTGCCGTAGATCTGGCTTCCAATCATCAGGGTCTTGCGCAGGTTGGCCACTCTGATTGACAGGCAAAGAGAACCGTTTTTGGGGCTGATGACAGCCATGTCACTAAATGTGATGGTCTTAGCCCTCTTTTTGGGTGAAGAAATTTTGGTCAGGACAACTCCACACATGAAGCAGTTGATAATAGCTCCGAGGATGCACTGGATCATGAGAAGGGCCACAGCACTTGGGCAGATAGGGGTGACTGCTCTACTACCATACCCAATAGTTGACTGGGTTTCAATGGAGTAGAGGAATGCTGTGGTGAGCCCTACAACATTTTCAACACATGGAGTATGGTTTGATGGGGGATTTTGCCACGTCAGGTCTCCATTCATGCGGGCAATCCAGTACCACAGCAGGCCAAAAATGAACCAGCTGAGGGTGAAAGAGTTGATGAAGTGAAAGATGACATAACGCCACCGGATCTCCACAAAGGTGGTCCAGAAGTCAGCCAGGAAAGCAAAGTGATTATTGTACTTGAAGTTTCCGTATTCCATATTGCAGCGACCATCTTTGTTCACTAGTCTGGTCTTGTGGCTTCTTTGCTGCACAAGACAGTCTTGTATAGGTTTTTTCATGAATCCAAACATTTTCTACAACCCCGCAACCTATAAGACAATAAAACAGGAGAGAAAAAAACATGAAGATAGACATACAGCACGTAATTATATAGTTGAATGCCAGTGATCAAACAGTTGTGTGAACAAACATTTACTTATTCATTTCTTAAATGAAATAGCAATGTAGATTTCCTCCAATCATAAAACAACAAAATTAATACAAAGTTTGCATCACATAGCAATAACAAGCTGCTCATAGCTGACTTGTTCCAGCAGATCAAACACTGCACCTGGGACCCCACTAAACTTTTGCAGCCCCAACAATGACAGAAAAAATCTAAGTTAAAAATGCAGATAACAATTGTACTTGATAGGCCACTTCATCCTAGTCTGGGTCATTTAATCATCTAAAACAGCGAAATGTCACAATGACACTGTCTGTCAGGGGCTGAAAGTGGGGTGTAAAAAGGAAGATATGCAAGCTCATATTGTGCAAAATATTTTTAAATTTGTGCTTCATAACCAGTCTGTGGTTTTCCCTTTTGCTCAAAAGGTAGAGAACCTACAACAACCTAAATGGACGCCACTTCCAAACTTCCCCAAGTCTTGGAAAGACCTGATCAGAGCTACTAACATTAGGCTTAACTCTGGTAGCACCACCAGGTAACAAACTGGGGCATCATGTGCCTCTCTGTGTCATTTTTTTTACACTGTAACGTTGCCATGTTAGTAACAAAACACTCATATAAGCAGTTACAAATATCTGATTCCAGCATTATACTATTAAAAATATTTTTATTCCATAGCTACAGAAAACACTGCCTTCTGCAAATGGTTGTTCTAGCTAGTTGATTTTGGACAGGATGTTTTTATTGTGGAGTGGTGAAGAGCCACCCGACTCTCTTGAGTCTGCCAGATGACGCAAAATAAGCAGGGTGCTCTGGGTGCAGGCAACATGGAGGGATGTTAACCATTGTTTATTTGCATATACCATGCTTTAACGATACAAAGCTGTAAATATGTTTCTAGCTCTTAATGTTTTGCTCTTCTTCTAAAGGTTACATAGCTGACTCTTACTGTGGACTGCTTACGTTAAGTCTCAAGACATGTTCCAAGCTGCTCTGTCCCACTGCAGTTTTAATCCTGGGGTTGATGCAGCACAGCAGGAAAGACCTGACGTTAATAAGAAACAAAAGTTTCTACTGAAGCGAACACATAAGTGCTCCAAATAAACCAAATAATTTTGGAATCTTGGTCTCTTGCAAGTGTCTCAACACAAGGATCAGCTTTGTTTGCTAAGTTACAGTGCTGCAAAAATAAATGTGGCATTAAAATGATTTGTGCAAACCCAGCCAGAAGGCCAGCTGCTCAAAGACATAACAATCTTTGACTTTATTCAAGCTCTAGTTCTCATAAGTCTGGTGCTTGATGGATGGTTACTGGCAGTATTGGCTATCCAGAGGTTTCCAAATAAGTATGCCCTCTGTTCTTGCCAAGTCATGCAAACCATCCATTTGGTCCATGGCGTGCTTGTTAGTGAGTGTGAAGTAGTACAAAACGAGCAGTGCAGTGAGTTTGTTTTTGTTTTCAAACCTCAAAGCTCGCATCCAGTCATTTTGCCAAAATAAATCTATTAATCGCACTGTGTAGCTTGTTTGCAAGCTTTAATCCTTTTGAAGTATAGTATAATAAAAAAAATATATATATATATATGTGTGTGTGTGTGTGTGTGTGTATATATATATATGTGTGTGTGTGTATATATATATATACACCTCTTCATACAGAAAGGATCACTTCGGCAAAAGCTGGTGTCTGCAGCTATAGCACCCCTAAACAAGGTGACTCTCAAGAGGAATCGATTACTCTCAGTTTCAAGTTGTTTTTACCTATCTTGTTATGTGCTGTTGTGTTGTCTTCCATGTATACTGTATGTTACTGGTCTGTGGTGATGTATGTATGCCTTGGAATGGGAACAATAGTCTAACTACCTAAAATATGCTGGAATTATTTCTGGAATTTAGTAATTTAAGTATATGTAGGACAAGTTACTATGAATTATTTCTTTGCAACAACTACCTTTCAGAATGGAAATGGAAGGAATCTGAAGAAGTCAAGAAGCATTCACAATATAGTAGATTAAATCAAAGCATTAAATCAAAAAGGGCTTTACTGCCATGACTCACAGAATTAAAGCACCAACCTTAATCAGAATTAAAAATTCCAATGAAATAAATCAGTCAATAAATGTAATTGTATTTGACATTTTTCTTCTATTTTTCCTTCACACAGGCTTTTTGAATGTGTATATAACGCCATGGGTTGTGATGGAGCAGTGGATTAGACACATGCCTTTGGTGTGAGAGACCTGGGTATGACTCCAACCGCAACATCCACCTATGTATCCCTGAGAAAGACATTTAACCCGTAGTAGCTCCAGAGGTGTGTGACCTCTGACATATAATTGTAAGATGCTTTGGATAAAAGTATCAGCTAAATGACTAATTATTATTATTGTAATTGAATGCCATTTCTTTGGGATAAAGATGTTACGTTCAAAATGCTCTGACTCTGAGTCATCACAGTAAACGTATTTTATGTTTAAAACTTATGAGACGTCTGTCCTCAGACCCCTTTAAGTCTTCTTACTGCTGACTGATAAAAATTTGAAGATGTGTAGTTCAACTTATGAATAATCCATTTAAGTAGAAACAACTAAAAATCAAGTAGTAGTAGTTGTAGTAGTAGTAGTAGTTGTAAGTAGTGACATAATAGTACTGCTTATGTTGCATTAATTGCCATTAAGATTTACAGGTAATTAATATTTAACTGTATTCACATATTTCCATTATTCTGTCAAGTGACTGATTTATTATAATGCATCAACTCTTTAGGCTCATTCTAATAACAGGTAATCAATAGCTACTTTCATTATTTTCATTATTAAAGTGGCTTGTAGACTTGCAGGTATTTAGCAATAGCTGAAATAAGATTTAAAATAGAGATTACTGGAATATGTCATTATGAGTTTTAATGCCTAATTTGTGGTAAATTATTTATTTTGTTAATGAAGTACAAACCAGCTTTATTAGAATATACATAAAGTAAAAAAACTAATTGGAACCAATCAATTTATTTGTAGTTCCTTTGTTTACTGATTTATATTTTAGGTGACACTCATAGGGACAATCTTATTTTATATAAATGAATTGTATCTGAACTACTCACACTAAGACATCATACTCACTATATTCTAGCAAGAATGAGGCACAGCTGAAAAAGAAATATGTTAACATGAAAGTTCAGTCCAAACTCACCTCAGTGATTTGAAGTGAAAGTAGTCTGATGCTGATCCAGAGGTTAACGGATGTCAAACTCCAGCTCAACCTTCTCTCCTTTCCTTTCGTGACTTGCTGGTGATTGAGACAGTTGACGTGTGTCCTACGGTTATGCCTGTTCACCAACACCTGTGTGCATTTATACCTGTCCTGACATGGTGTGCGTGAATCAGCCAGGGGATGTTTACACAGAGACATCAAATACCCCTCCGCCCCCAAACATACATGCACGCACACACACACAAGCACATGCATACCCTTGCCCTGGCTCTAATAAGTTGTTTACCCCACAGACACCTGGCACCAAGGGCCAAGCTGACCTCTATCTACCACACTCCCAGTCCACTAAAGTCTAGGAGATGCCTTGGATTTATGGTTGGTTGTTTCTATTTTGTGATATTGGAATTTAAGCTTTTTCACAGTTGCACTCACTTTAGAAAAAAATAGCCAAGTAAATCTTGACAATGTAAAACCAAAACCTGCATGTACTGTATCTGTATATGGTTCCGGTTATACCTCTCAATAACAAACAGACTGTGTGGCATTATTTACTGTAGATACACACGCACGCACACACACACACACTTTTATTGGCATGTTTTGGGATAATAAATTTTTCTCCAGTTGTTGTCCGTGCATGGCAAGTGCAGCAATGATGCAATGTCTGGAGATGTGAGCTGCAAGAATGTTTTGGGGGGAAAAACAGCTTTTCATTATCTGACATTTACATGTTATAATAATCATGTTGCCCCTGGGATACTTTATGTGTCCATGATAAAAAAAGACCATATAACTCATATATATTTATGCATTACACCACTCTACCATAAAAATATGTTGTCACTATGAATGAAACACGAGAACGAGAAAAGTTGTGAATAGTGCTGTTTCCAGTAAAAGTGACAGAAAAAACCTTAGTATTACCTTACATACTGCGGAATGTGTAAACTATTGACAGCACAATACATTACTTTTGGCACACATAGAGATTAGTGTTGCGTGTTTATTTTCTAAATCCCTGCTATTGTAAAAGGATGACAAGCTTTTTGTATTTAAGCTTCATTCAGGGGGTGATATGTCTGTTTGCTTAATCAGCTCCCTTGTTTTTAATCCCTTGTAAATCCAAAAAAAGGTTAGTGTATAGCCACGAGACCACATAGCTGCACTGATTGTTGAGCTGGTTTAGCAACTTAAGAACTGCGGAGGCTACATTCGATTGATAGTAATGCATCTGAGACAATTACTGCCTCTGAATAATGACTACATAACTACAGACAGGGTGATGCTGTTTTCATACTTCAGAAGAAATCAACAGAATTATCGACATAACTGATAAAGTGTTCTTTCCATCTATTAACAGACAATGACTTTAGTGACCTTGCTGACTATAATAATGCGCAATTAATATGAATGGCTGAATGATCTGTATTGTCAATATACTCAGGTACAATGGAATTCTGTATGACTTCTCCCTATGTAGTTAAAATAAAAAATAAAACAAAACAAATAAAAGCAGTACCATAAAACAGCAGTCATAGTAACATGACATTTAAATAAGGTTTGTGGATATGACAAGTGTATGAAAAACATATATATTATATAATTTATATATATATATACATGTAAATTGGTGAGACCTGTTTTTTCTCACAGCAGACATTGTGGCATGTAAACTAATGTCCATGTTTACCTTTAAACAAACAAATCACTGATTTGTAAACACAATACTGCCACAGCAAGCCTTCACTGTTGAGAAATACATGTTTGAGGGATCCGTACTTAAGTGCCATTGGTAGCTACAGAGAAGGTAAACAATGGCAGTTTCTCTCCGCATCAACTAGAGCACTCCAATGAATAATGCTGGTTTCTGTATCAGTTTCTGTCAGTCAGGGCCAAGACGATGCCAGCGGTCAGTAAGTATTACAAAATTACCTGCACCTCACTACCTGTAAGTTAATAAGTACAGTAACAAAAACATAGAAAAGATGTTTTGTCCCCACATGCTACTGCTCATACTTTGGTAAGATTCAATATGATGTTTAAATGTCTAATCTACAGACAACCCTGCAACTGTGATGAGGTTTACCAGAACTAAAAACAAAAGCAACCAGTGATAACAATCACCACCTCTTGCACCAGACTCACACAATGTGCACCATTTTTTTATTACTATATTACATATGTATTATATTATATATGTATATATATACAAAGATGAACTAATATACTTTTGGCCACCTAGAGGCAGCAGAAACCAGTTGTGAACAACACTGACATATTATCACCTTTTAAGTTTACATAGCAAACTCGTTAGCTAGCAGTTGCTCATTTACACGTCGAGCAGATGCAGAGCAACATGACCATTCATTTGGAGTCATGTTTTTAGTCACCATATGTAAGTTCGATCTCTACTAACTCCTGAGGGAAATATCTCGCTCTTTAGCTGCTAAATAAAGCACTATATTTGTCAGCTAGTTGCTAATTTGTCTGGGTGCTGTTTTGTGCCGCAGGTAGCTTGCAGTGGGTTTATCAGAGCTCTTTCACTGAAAGCAGCTGCCTGCTGCGACAAAAAACTGCGCTGATGAGAGCAGTGAGACTGAACCAAAACTACAAAACAGTGAGCTTAAGGACACTATAAAGCTTTTTAGAGCCTTGAGGGACTTCATTTTCAGATCATAATTTTCAATTCTCGATTCTTCAGCAACCCCTTTCACATACAAGTAGTCACGTGTGCCGTTGATAATATTGAAACCCATTTTCTTGTATCTCTGTTACATTTAAAAAAAAAAAAAAGATAATAAAACATTTTTAATTTAATTAAATCTACATGTGTGATGCACTAAAGCAGATTAGTGGGTGCTGTAGGTTCAAGCCCCCCAAATCAACAGTAACAGAAGTTAGAAAAAGCCACTTCATGTGGTAAATTCACTCACCACTTATCCAGTACTGGGTCGCTGGAGCCAAACCCAGCTGACATCGGGTGAAAAGCGTGGCACACCCTGGACAGGTTGCCAGTCCATCGCAGGGCCACACATATGCAACCAACGCTCACACTTTCATGTGGTCAATTAATTAATCAAATTGACAACACTTCTTAGACAGTGAAATCAAGATCAGAGATATTGTTTTAAGTCTGTTAACACTTGACTTAGGTCGTCCTTTGAAGCTGTCAAACATTCAACACGTGTCATGACGCTTTAAGACTCAAATTCTGTCTCACTTTAGACCGTTGGCAGCTCCCTGTGCCAACTTGAACACTTGCACACTACTTAGTCTGTGAGCAGTTCATGGTGAGAGACATCACTTTTAAGGATTTGATTAGACTATTCTTTTTTTAGGTTTCACGTAACCCATTGCTCTCGCTCCTATTTTCATGCCCATTCATTCTTTTTAAACATTTTTAAAAAGACTGTTCAGTTGCAAACCACATCTGACTGTTTCACAACAAAAAAAATCCTTTGCAGTCAGAAATAATAATAAAATGTCGCCTTGAGCATTGGGATTAAACCATTTTAAATCTAATTAAATCTGGTTTGAAGAGAAATGAAGCCTTTGTTTTTATTATTTTTCCCTTTTTGATTTGTTATTTAGGCATGCTTGGCAACACATAGTTTTAAAAAGCAGCGTTGCAAGACATAAAGCTCTACTAGGGCACAGGCACCCATACATTTTTGAAAGTGAATGAAATGTGTTAGTATTTGCTTTACCAGCTTCCCTTGCTTTGCCCATTATTATTGGCACTGCCATGTCAGAAAGGGCTTTGACCAGATCATAAGCACACATACCTACGTCACCACTAGAGCTGGTCCTGACCTTCCTGGAACCTAAGAATTAAAATTCTGCTATGGGGCTCTCATACCTGACTTGTGAGCCATGAAAACAATTTGTCATTGCTGCACAGTCACACCTGACACAGCAGTACTCTCACTACAATCCTCCCTCCTTTCATACAGTCTGTCTCTGGAATAAGTCTGAATGGAAACCTCTTCTAGAAAGATTCAGTAAAAATCAATGTCCAATGTGAATCCAATGCTTATCTTGTATTAGTAAAGAGTTGTATCTAAACTTGAGAGACAGATAATTATTGTCTTGTTTTAAAATGGTAAGTTGAAATGTGTCTAGTCTGGAGTGGTCCGACTTATGATGCTGGTGGAAGTTTAATTTAATTCACGCACGTCACGTGCAACACATTTTAACGCAGTTTATAAACACAAACCAAAAAAAGTTGTATTTCATTCCAACATTGTTCAGACACAAAGTCTGGCAAGCAACCAAAACACAGAGAGTAGGATGCACTTCGCAGCTGGGTTAGCAGGACAGACAAACAGACAGACGATTTACTGTAGCTAACACGTTAACTTACTGTTATCTGCTGACTTCAGACTTTGAGAGGAGAGAACACAAGTTTGCCTGACTGCTGTTCCCGAAAATTCTTGTGCACAGAAGGACAGTCCCTCGTCATCCTCTCATCAACGTTATAGACACTCGCTTTCACCTTTGACTCGTTTTTTATGCAACGTTCCTCAACGGTAGCAATGGGCCGTTTTATGTTAACCACCGTAGTTTTATTTTGAAAGCGTAATCGGACATTGCATTTTTATTATTGCTGACTTGACCAGATGTTGCAGATGTTTTGTTACTAACTTGACTACGTAGCCCTACATGTCCAAAAATGACGCCATGGTGTCTTGACCTTCTTACTGGCGCACAGAGCATGAATACTGGGGCACATGCCCCATTAAAAAGTGTCTAGCAACGGCTGTGGTTTTAACATTACTTTGCATGGGTTCAATTGAATAAGTCTATACTTTGGAGATGATGGTTGTTTGTGTAAGTGTGTGTGTGGGTGTGAGCAGAAAGGGGGGAGGGTGCACACTGATGGAAGCCATTTTGCTGGGTCATCATGTCACTGAGCATTCATATTCCATATCCATCATTCTCAGAGTTAAAATGGCAAAGTGGTAAATGCCAGCATTGCTATCCCAAGCTGTGCAATATGCTTGTAAAGTGTTTTCTTGGGATAATTTAAACATACGCTGTGAAGCATTTCTCTGAAAATGTCTATGCACTCTGCTGTCTTATTGTCAGCATACATTTGTGCAAGACCATCTCATG